TGACCAGAAAAAAAGTAACTACTCTATATATTCAGTTTGAAATTAGTGTATCTGTTTATGCTTGAATAAGGCTAAGAGGACATTCACTCTATTATATTATTCAGTTCATTGCTGAAAATGTCTTTCGTATTCTCATTTACCCCAGATGATTTTCTTTGCCTGACTGAATATTCTTTGGAATCATCCCTAAAATGCCCCTTCAGCTCACTACTACTATGAGAAATAATACTTACTGCTGTATTCTGGATATGCTCCAGTTTCATATTGCAGATGTCTCCAGTTTATAACACGTTCTTGATGAAATTTTATTTTCAATACCTATGTATGATCCACTACCCTCTAATAAAACGCAGTAGTACTGTAGTTACCTTTTAATGATATGTTTATCTTCTCTGGAGAACTTTTAAAATAAAACAAAAATGCATAAGTGCTGACAGTTCAGGAAATTAACTTTTATATCCTCAGTAGAATCAAAATAATTAAAAGACAGTAAATCCTCAATCCTGCAAAGACTTACAAATGTGCTTAACTTTACGAACAGCCACACAGAAGTCACTATAGGGTCAGGGCCTAGACCATCAAGTCCATTCCTCTGCAAGAACATGGCTTAGTCCCACAATAGAAGCATATCAGGTTGTTAAAAAAATGTTTAAGCTGAAGTTTAGCCAAAAATGGCAATTTAATACACCCTTAAGTACTCATTTTACTAGCAATCTGGGAATCGCAACGATCTGTGGGTTAAAGAACTAGTCTTTCACCTCAACACCTGGGTTTCTAAATCAAATGTGAAAGTGAGTTTGTGATTTTATTCTCATCCCCAAAGGACAGTTGTTCACCCTGCAAAAGCCAGGACAATATTTGATGACAATCTGGCAAGCCTGGACTTGAGACATCCAAAGCTAGAATTTCAGGAGTGTTGAACGTGCACAAAGTGGTACACTGGCACAGCTGTAAGGAAGATTTCAGTAGTACCTGCCAATACTACCCAACTCTAACCAGAGCTGTCACTTCACTGAGGAACATATTTATATAAATTTTCAATTACAAAAATTAAGCATTAAGTCATTTGTCAGTATAAATCACAAACAGAAGAGCTCTCTAAACAGCAGGATTCAGAGTAAACCTTGTCAAGATAACAATAATTCATATTTAACTACAATCTATATGATGCAAAATATTTTATCAAGAGTGCAATGATTTCAAAATATTTATGGGAGCACTCATCCATCTACAAGCTTTAGAAAAAATATGTATATGTACTTAGGAGATTGAAAGTTCTGCATTTTTTCCTCTAGAAAGAAGGAGGCAGAAAGGGCACAGTAAGGAAAAGAATGAGTGATAATGAAAAACAATTAGAGTAGTTGTAATTCTGTTTATGCAATACATGATGAAACACTGAACATAGATTTTGAAAGAAAACGCAAATTAATAGTTCTTTGGACATTCAAAGTCCTTCTGCAATTAAATCAACTGCAATCTTTAAGGACAGATATTTTTCTGAAAATAAATATTGGGACTGGGTAATATATTCAGGTTTTTGACAAGTAAACTGATCACTTCAATTACTTTTCTGGATGGTCAGTCTGTGCTTGCTTCAAATTTATTGCAGGAGGTCACTGGAAGTAATCGTTCACTAAAAAAAGCCTACATTATCATCCTGAAGACTTTGTCCACAAAGTATGTATGAGAGACATGAAACTGTCAATAATGTTACATAAAGCTAAGATTAGTTAAAATGGTATTGTAGTGCAAGTCTAGAGAAATCAAAAGAAAAGCAGAGGTGAAATTATTTTGACCCTTTTGAAGTCAATGGCAAAACTCCCTTTGATTTCAGTAGGACCAAGATTTATAGCAGATACTCTTGTTCTGATCACACACCCATTTTCCACCAGTGTAAGAGGAGCAGAGGGCCCTTTTTCTAAAGGAAGAATTAAGATTCAGTGTTTCTCACGTCTTAACCTCCCTCACACCAGTACAAAGTTAAACTGTTTTGAAAGAGTTTACGTGGTTATGTTAAACCATTTTCATAAGTGTGTGAACATGCACACTATGCTCTGGGACCCAGTTCAGATGTGCTTTATAATGCGATCATAGGACAGAGTAAGAAACTTTAGGATTCTTTACTATATGATAATCAAACTATATGTTCCAACTCTGATTTCTGACACAGTTTATACCAGTGGTGGGCAACCTGTGGCCCGCATGCGGCCCATCAGGGTACTCTGACTGCAGGCCGCGAGATATTTTGCCGATGTTGACCATCCGCAAGCATGGCCCCCCTGCAGCTCCCAGTGGCCTGCGGCCCACTGCTTCCCACAGTTCCCAGTGGCCAGGAACGGTGAACCACAGCTACAGAGAAACCGTGGAGGGTCGTGCCTGCGGATGGTCAACGTCAGCAAAATGTCTCATGGGCCACAATCAGATTACCCTGATGGGCCGCAGGTTGCCCACCACTGGTTTATACTGACCTGACCTGCATTAAGCAGTTTGGAAGAACCACTGCAGCCAGTAACATGTAGGCACTAGGTTCTGTGCTGTGTTTTGAGGGATTGCCTGGGAGCACCAGCTCCTAATGCTGATCTGCAACAAACCTTGCTAAAGCTCTGTTCAGACTACAACTAAACCAGGTTACTTATATCTAAACCATACTTGAAATTAAGCCACTACCAAAAACATCAGTACAGCTCAAACGCTGTTAACACAATTTTGAAATGGATTTTAAAACGTATGAGTTGCATCAACATATTAGGCAGCGTGGCCAAATGGGCAAAGCATTGACTTTAACTCTATTCCCAGCTCTGCCACTGATCTCCTGGGATACATTGGACAAATCACTTTACCTCTATGCCTGTTTCCCCATCTGTGAAATGGGGATAATAAAACTTCCCTTTGTAAAGTGCTTTGAGAACTAACGAGCAAAGTTGCTCTATAAAAGTGAGATGACATTATTAACTAATTCTAAACTTTACCTTCCTTAATATGGTTCACAACTTGTGGTATAAACTGGGCTTTATAGGCTCCATCTGTGACCATGGAGCCCGCAACTAACAACTGGCAGAGCCCCCCGCCCCCACATACCATAACTCACATCAAGCCTGACACGCTCATTGTTGTCATAAGATGTAACTCAAAGGTGTCATGTAAGGTATCTTATGTAAACTGGTGACATGCTGGTCACGAGTATCACTGGGCATACATGCAGATGGCGTGTAAAGAATTGTGCCTGTGTGTTGGAAACGTGTTCCTAAAATTTATTTTGGGGGCAAACTTGATAAACAAGTTTGGCTTGGACAAAGGACTATGCATTCACCTGTGTGTCCTCTGGCTTACAAAGCTTGACCCAATGAAAGCATATTTACATAGAAGGTAAAGGTTTCAGAGTAACAGCCATGTTAATCTGTATTTGCAAAAAGAAAAGGAGTACTTGTTGCACCTTAGAGACTAACCAATTTATTTGAGCATAAGCTTTCGTGAGCTACAGCTCACTTCATCGGATGGTAAATAAAGCCATCAAGCTAAACGAGCAGGGGAGAAGACACAATCACATTGGGGGAGGGGAGAGAGAATCTACATCCCTAAAAAAACCTTCTGGCTCTTGAAACAGAGACAACAGATCTTGGATAATATAAGGGGGGAGGGGGCTGGAGACATTTTAATTATCCTTCACTTAGGGGATGATAGCATACAGCTGCCGTTGAGCCTAGGAAAGCTGGATTCTCTTGAACTGAAAGGCAAGAGTTGCTGGAGACTTAATGTAAGTGAGAAACCTGCTTAGACAAAGATTGCAACTTGATGAAATGGAGTTTTAATCACTAGGGCTATGTCTACATTGGCAATTGAATGACAAAACTTTTGTCTTTGAGAGGTGTTAATCCCCCCACTCCCCGAAAGACAAGCGTTTTGCCAATGACAAGAGTCAGTGTGAACAGTGCTTCGTTGGAAGGAGCACCCTCCTGCTGACAATGCAAAAGCTTCTCATTGGGGGTAGAAGTTTTTTGTCCGCAGGAGAGCTGACAAACAACAGCTACACGGTGTGAATTTTAGTGGAACGGCTGTAGCAACACAGCTGTGTCCTTAAAAGCTGTGTAGTGTAGACATAGCCTTAGAAGCATGTTTTATTTTGTTTGTAACCAGACCTGTTTTTTGTTCTTGCTAAGTATCACTAAAATCTCTGTTCTTTGTTAATAAACTTTTTCTTGTTTTATTATAAAACCATCTCAGTGCTATGTATTAAAGTAGACAGTGAATGCTCAGCTAGCCAAACAGGCTGGTATGTGCTCTGTCTCTTTGACAGCAGTGAACTTAACTTCTGTGAGTGTCCAGTGGAAGGGACTGATCACTGCAGAGAGATGTCTCTGGGGAACTAAGGTTCATCGATTGTTACCTGCAGCAAACTGGCAGTGTCCTCAAGAGTTTGCTGGCAAGGCGGACAAGCTGCTGTGTCAGGGAGCTGACACACATCTTAGCAACAGCAAACTCTCACTTGCTGAAGCGGAGATGGGTAATACACGGGCTCACAATTCTGGGTATCTCATGCAAGACTCACTATAAACATAACTACACATAAACAGAGTTGTGAAATAATAGTTTGGGACCTAACAGTATTTTCAGACAGATCTACATGGACAATTTTTGGGAATCTCCTACTGTTTCACTAACACCCATGTTAACCTTCGTTCAGACTGGAGACCAGTGTTTTAGCACTGCATGATACCGTAAACAGGTTTTTATGATCATCATATTCTGCTTACTGCTAAATCTATTTCAGTTCTAGTCAGAAACGAAAACAAATACCATCTTTGTTACAGATGCACAGTTCAGAATGCCACATGCAATATGAAACTGAAATAATAAGATGCTTGTAAGTGTAACACATGATGTTACAAGTGTGATCTGTGGTGTTCACCACAGCTAGCCACTATCAAAAACCTGCAGATAAAAAAAGACAAGCTTCAGACACAGATGTGCATTAAAAATTGTCAAACATATTAGGCTCTTACCAGAAATGGACTCCAGCAAATGCAAGAGACACACATTATAGCCAATAGCTGAATGATCATTTCAAAATGATGAGATCGGCCTTGTCTTTGTTGACTTTTAAATTTGACTCTTAAGAGAGTAATTCCTGTGACAGCATTGCACAAGAACGAAACAGCAAGGGCCAGTAACCCAAGACAAGAAAAAAGTAATAGATAAAATCGGTCTTCCCAGTCCTCAATATGTTCTGTTTTATAGAAGCACCAGGTCCTCGATGCTTGAATTTGATATGCTCTAAAGCTAAGAATAGGCAGCAAAGCTATAAAAACAGCAAAGAGACATACCGTAGTCAAAATCATTTTTACATGTTTAGAAGTCATTTTTGTAGAATGAAATATTGGTTTAGTAACTCCAATGCAACGTTCAACAGCCATCACACTGCCCAGAAAGAGAGGGCACAGCCCAAAGAATACCATACATATGCCAAAAACACTGCAGAGAATGTTTGATTGATTAAATCGAATCCAGTCTTTGTCAGAGGCATACACAAACACAGCAATAGTTCCATTGATGAGATGGCCAAAAAGATCGGTGATAACCAAACCACTAGCAAAAAGCAAAAAAGATGCTTTTGATTTCTGTCTAAATCTCTGATATGCCTTCATGAGAATTGCTATTGCAAGACTGTTGGATAAAATTCCCACCGTCATGAATATTATTGAAAATAATACGGAAATCTTTTTGTGTGCGTTGCAGGTCGTGTTTCCTAATCCATCCAGCACTGATGATTTTGACCTGTTCATTGTTGGAAAAGTAGCTGGAGCACTCAATACATTTCAGCAGTCATACAATCAAAAGGCATCTGTAATATTTAAAAGAAAAACATTATAAAAGGCACATCTCTCATTTGATATTTGAAACAGATGCTCCAGGTAGCTTGTGGTAGAAATCTAATTTCCCTGACCTATCAGGTGCATGATGTGGCATGACATCTTTGAGCAGTTACATCGGGTATAGTGATGTAGTGCTAAGTTTAATAGTGCTGGAGCCCTGCAGAAATGATCTCAAATTAGTAATTCTGTCACACCTGAGACAGTCACCCAAATCTATCTTGTGTGCGAGTCTACCATAAGATCAGGCACCCATATTCAAAACCTAACACTGTACCAGTCAACTTTATCTCACAACCACCAGCAGCAGCATTCTCTATTGCCCATTCTTTGCCACCCGCAGTGGGCAGAGAGTCCACGATGTCAGCACCCAAGGAAGGAGTCGAGAGAGTCTCTCACTTCAACTGGGGCAGCAGATAACTCACACCTCTAGGGGAAACCCCTCTGCGCCCCAGCACAGGCAGACCCATGCAAGCCGCAGCACAGTAACCACCCTGCGACAAGGCGGGACTGGGTAAAGCAAATCCCCCTGCAAATTCGCACCACTTTCCCTGCTTGCAACATCCCCCTACAAGGGGCAGCAAGCCTCCTCCAGGCACCGTCCGCGATCGGCCTGGCCACTCTCAATCAACTGCAGCTCAACAGCAGCAGCCACGCTCCGATTGCGATTAAACCCCGTGCAAAGCACGGGAACACACTCTAGCAGCCGCAGGACTTCAGTGCGCCTCTCAGTGCAAACTGGGGGACCTACGTGCGTCCACCTCTCCTTTGCAAAAGTGAATCTCGCAAAGCCATTTAAATACAGATAAAGATCAAATAAACCGAGATAGACTGGACAGCAGTGTACGTTTGCCTAGACGCTGCCTTTTGTTAAGCGGGGAGGGGGAATTTTTCTTGCATTACAGAAACAGACCCTAATATTAAACTCCTACCTGCGCTGAGTGCCCAGGATCGTGCACCGATAAAGCGGCTGGGCGCCTTCCTCTGCCTCTCACGCGAGCAGCAGCTCGGGCTGTGCGCACACTGACAAGTTTGCAAAAGGTGAAAAGTTTCTACGCGCTCCTCCAGACCTTCCCTCCTTCTCCTCCCTCCCTGCAGCCGGCTCCGCAAAGAGATCGACCAACATCCCACTCCTCCTCTCCACCCTCCCTCCAGCTGGATCAACTTCGGGGCTTCCCACTCTGCCTTCGGCGTCAGGTACCCATGAAGAGGGGAGCCAGCCGCCGTTGTGCCCTTCCCCAGGGGAGAGGGCGAGCAGAGCCCACTGCGTATCCTCCTCTTCCCCCTCCCGCCGATCAGTTCTGGCGGAGAGTCACGCACAACCCACCCCGCAAGTCCTCACGCCTGCCTCTTTGCAGGACTTCCGAAGTGCGGGAGCGTCCCTCTGCCCTGGATCCCAGGGCTCTCCGCCGCTTCACCGCCTCTTGGCATTATTTGCTAGGCAGGGCCAGCCCTGCAAACCCTTGTGCGCTTACTTGACCTCCCACACTGAAGACAGAGCCCTGTTGAAGTCAGGTGAGCAGGGACGACTCACGCAAGGCAGGCTCAGGCCAGCAATTAGACAAAATACAACGAACCTGTGTAGTCTCCCTATACTACAACGCTAGATAAAGATGGGCTAGATTAGGCAGTAGAAACCAACTGGAGGAGGACAAGGAGGAATCTGCTGCCCTGTGTCCATGAAGCGCTACGAGCGGCAGAAATCATGTCTAAATCCCAGTGAGCGAATCCGAATGTTGGAAAACATCAAGGGGAAAGTGAATGCAAAGTATCATCATTTTTAAATAGTGCATCCCGAGTAACCAGCTCAGCCTTTTGCTCCCTCAAGTTTGTTAGCGTTGGTCCTATTCAGAAGTATGCACGAGTTACTGCCCCGCATCCAGCGCCTGAAAAACAGACTGTCAGCGGCAGCCTGCATCGCGGGTTGGGTACACGCCGCAACTTCCCGCTATCGCTTCATTTTATCTATATTTAAACTGACGTTTATGGTTCTGCGGGATATGCTGGAGTGAGTCACACCGTAGGGTTGCCAACTTTAGTTGGACGAATTCCTGGAGATTTAAGACATAATCTTTAATTAAAAATTAATCTTTAATTGCCGGAGCCTCCAGGAAAATCCTGGAGGGTTGGCAAGCCTAGTCACAGGGATCCCCATGACACACAACTCCCAGGGTGGGAGTTCAGCCTTTGCCTTACCAGCCAAGGGGAGAGCGATCATCCTAGAGTGAAAAATCACTTCGGGCAACAACAAGACCAGTCACCTCTTACTCACGTCTCAGCCCAGGTGCTCGACGCTTTCCCCCGCTACTTTCCCCGCACGTCTTGCGACACACAGCTCTGACCGCCAACTTTCTGAACTTTAAGCGAGCATTGCTCAAGCAGCCAGCCGGCCGGCGGAGATGGGTTTCTCCGGAGAGCGAGCGAGCCTGGCAGAAGCCGCATTCAGCAGCCAGAGAAGTTGCAACAACCGCTCGTTTAAAGGGCACCTTCGGGGCTTTCGGGACGGCCCCCGTGGACACGTGCGTCTCCGGCTGCCAGCGGCGAGCTGAGCCTCGTTGTGCAGAGCCCTGGCAGCAGCTGGTTTCCCGTCCTGCCCCTCCAACCCCAGCGCCCTGCTGGGGGATTCCTGGCAGCCCCGCAGCGCCGGGGCTGGAACAGAAGGAGAAGTCGCCAACCTGTCAGCAGCGGGCCAGGCTTCCCAGCGATCCTCCCACCGGAGCCCCTCGCTCCCCGGGCTGAGCAGCGGCGGGAAGCTTCCGCGCCAGCCGGGGAAAGTTGGCCACGCGGAGCAGCGGCCCTGTGGGGAAAGCGAAGCAGGGCCGCGTCTCCAGTGCAAGCAGGGCCGGTCACCCAGCTCCAGGCTCCCCCTGCGTGGCGCTGGGGGCTGCGGCAGCCAGTCGCTCCGCGGCGCGCACAGCCCGCCCCGCTGGCCGCATGCTGCCCCCTCGCATCGCACGGGGTGTGGAGGCTCCTCTCCTGCCGCGTCCCTTCAACCCCGAGCCTCGCACGCCGTCCCTCCGCCTGGGCCGGCGCTAACGTCACGCTGCCTGCGCCCCCCCTCGCAAACAGCCCGCCACGCGGGGGGAGGGGGGTTAGGGCAGGGCGGGCGAAGCCAGCCGCACACCTGGGGAGGGGTCCTTTGCAGCAGTGAAGTGTGAAATAAAAGCCCCCGCCCGCCTCTTCCCGCTGAATTGGGGGGGGGGGGGTCTCATGGATACATCTGGTCCGTCTCCATGGAGCTTGGCACTAATAATGAGCAAGATGTTGCTTGTTTATTTCTGCTGGCTGCTGATTTAATGAGATCACGGACAAATATGTAGCACTTGACATCTTCAAAGTCCTGGATAGACAGGGCAGGACTGCAGCAGCCAGGGGCACCCACCCCTCTCAGCTGCCCAGCCGCATGGGCTGAGTCTGCCAGGAGCCAGCTTCAGGCAGGGGGATACTCTGGCCCACCCCTGGCATTTCTCATTGGAGAACTGGGGCCTCTCTTTCCCAGCCCGGTGCTCCTTTGCTGGGGGGCAGGGGGGAGGGTTCATGCAGGAGCAGGGAGGCCTCGGCCTTCCCCCTCTAAACAGAGGAGTCTGAGGGGCAAAGGCCGCCCTCCTGCCACCTTATAAGAGGGTCCTGTCAATGGATGCACCTCTTAAAACTGCAGCATAGGCCCTAAGGTGGGTGGGGTGGCAACACAGAGCCCTCCATTGGGCAGGATGGTGTTGGCAGGTGACCCTCTACACATCCAGAGGCCCAGGCAGAACAGTCCCCCTCATAGGTGCAGCTTGGTCCAGGCAAGATGAGGGGTGGTCCAGTGAAATGTGGCAGCAGCAGATGGAGGTCCCCAACCCTCTCCTTCCTCAGCTACCTAGAAGAGGTAGTGGTGGTTCCTGGAGTCCCCACTCCTCCCACAACTTCCCAGAGGAATGAGCAGCTTCCAGTGATGTTGTCATGTGTTATTGGAGCTAACCTGCATGTCGAACTAGACACAGGCCTATTAGCTAAAGTGACCTAAACTGCAACCACAACAGAAATAATTTCATTTTGATTCTGAGCTGATTAGGACCAATAAATTCCAGGAAATTCTTTTTAAAAATATAATAAAATATCCAATTTTATTAACTTTAGAAAAAAAGTGTCAATTCAACATTTTCCAAAGTCATAAACTGAGATGAAGACTTGAAATTACAAACTGTTAGCGGTATCATGCCATTAGTTTTTAAGCAAAACTTGCCCCTTGAAATGAGTGGAAAGTTCTCTTTAAAAGAAAAAAAGTTGATGACACTGCATAGCCCCATTCTTTGTGAAAGAGAAATTTAAAAAAATCATTCTCATGTAGTTCAGGCCCAAATTTTGCCAGCACTTTTAATATCTAAAGCCTTGTTCCCCATAAAAACAAAGACACCAGTAATGAGAACTTGTTTAAGAAGGAAATGACAATTCAAAAGAAAGGTAGCTGCAGGTAGTAAGGCTGCTATTGCAAAAGGCAGGCTTTATATATTGCTGATTTGCCTCTGTCAAGGATACATGGTTTTTATTCACAGCCAACTGCAGAATATAATATACTTCTAAACTGTATAAACCCTAAAGAATCTTAATTTAGGTGCTGAGCACTGAGAGTTCCCAGTGAAGTCAACATTTTTCAGGATCTGGCTCCTATTATGGAGGATAAACGCCTTGAGGGTATGTCTACACTTCGAGTTCGGGATGTGATTCCCAGCTAGCACACTAAGAATAGAACGTAGCTGTGGCCGCGCCAGACGCTAGCCAACTGGAGTGCATGCCAGGCCAAGACCCTAGGAACATAGTTGGGGCAGCTAGCTCCTCCCGCTGCTTGCACTGCTGCCTCTACACTCTACTTTTAGCATGCCAGCTCCATGAGAGCTGACACCAGTATGTCTCCTCTAGGTGGGAATTACATGCACCCCCAGGTTGAAGTGCAGACATACCCTCATAGTCCTCAAGAGAGGAGACGAAAAACCCTAAGATAGAGACATTTACTGCTTGCAGAAATACAGTCAAGGGTGGAAAGAAGTATAGGTTTATAGAGCTCATCCAGAAAAGGGCAATGTTCAGTCAAAGGCAGAAAGAGTGAAATTTCAATTCTTACAGAAATAGGAACAGTGAAGACAAGAAGCAGTGCAAGCAAAAGAACGTCAACTAGAAGCAGTCCCCTAGAGACAGCAGCAGCAGAAAGTGCTGTACCTCTGAGGGCTTGAGCCACAGAAACCACAACATTGCAGCTTTGTATGATTCAGAATTGCTGATAGGCAGGCTTTGTAAAGAGACATACAGGTGAATGGGGAAGGCATATTTACAGCCCAGCGCTCCTCTGTAGGCTACTGCAAGTGATGTATCATGCTAGATTAGGGGAAAACTGAAGTGATGGAGTCCAAGGATTAAAATGGTATTGTCTGGGGTGAGGGGGGAGCATATAAATGGATGTAGTTGGCCAGATCCTCAGCTGGTGTTAATTGGCATTGAGGTCAACAAAACTATTGATTTACTATTAAAACTATTGATTTAATAGGGAGGGAGAAGCTGGCATTTTATGTTTACAACCAGAAATCAAAACACGCAACAACAAAACAAGGAGAAACAGTACATGTTCACACTCTCAGTTTAACTGTAAACCTATAGCCCTGCCTTCCAAGAGGCAATCTTCCAAGCAATCATCTAATGAGGCTCCCATGGTCACCTGTGTAAGAAGAGAGGCAAAATGAGGTGAGATTAACCTCTTATTCACCAAGGACCAGATGATGGCTCTCTACTCTATCAGCAAGCAGTTTGACAAACAGACATCATATACCTGTATTTGAAAGACAGTCACAGATAGGACTGAAAGAAAAGCCTTTGTGCAAGAGCTGTGTGGAGAGGCTTAATGGGGACCCAGTATTGCTCTGGTTTGCATAAAAGCCAGAAAAAGAAACCCTACATTCTGCCCTTGGATGCATTCACAGAACTCCTGTTGACTTCAGCATTTCTGTGTGAACTGGAGAGTAAAATTTGGGCCAAAAGGTTTTGTTTGTTTGTTTCTTAGTTGTTTGTTTTGTATTGTTTATTTTAGATCCTTGAGCTCCTGAAGCTGTGAGCCAGTGCAAGAATGATGAAGGTGCACAGCAGTTGTCTGGTTTCTCGTCCAGGCTGGAAACCTTGGCTAAATGTTCCCTGCTCCATGCATGATATAACGCGTTTGAATACTTGGAGGCAAGACAAAAATAGAGAGGTTGGTAAAAGAAATATGTGATAATAAAATGACAGCTTGCATTTCCACTTACTCAGATAATTTCAGTCAACTAACCAAATACCAAGCAAAGCATCCAAAATCCAGATAGTGAAAGGACAGGACAAGGAATCATTTCTGGACTGAGATGTATGTTTTCTTGTATATACATTACCTTCAATGCTTCTGTTAAATTTCTGGTGTGGTCTGTTAGTTTATTATTATATTTTTGTTGTCTTCCATGTTTAACCTTACTCTCTACAAGATTCCAAGCATCTCTTTTGCTCTTTGCATGGGATGATACTAGAATATATCAGGAGGAGCCTGGACCACCAGAAAAAAAAACAAAACAAAAAAAAACCCCCAAAACTGAGTGATGCTGCATCCTTGTACGCCCGGTCACAAATCCATATAAGATTTGGCCCAGCTGCCCCTACATCATGTCAGAGGGTTGGCCAGGCCAAACCTGAGTAACACTGCAACCCCACATATGGTTACAACACCGTTCACTCAAATTTGGCCCAGCTGCCACCTCCTCCCATCATGCTGGAGAGGTTAGTTGGGCCAAACCTGAGTAAGTGGCACTGGGACCTGGCATTTGGCAAGCCCCGCCAACTTTTACGATAACCACCAAGCCATCAGAAGACTTGCTGTGCCCCCCTCCAGACAGCATGCCACTCCATCCACCCCCCACCCCCGGCTCCATTGAGAACCTCTGTTCTAGGGGATAGAAAGAGGGCAGCACATTGAAGTTTGCCTAAGGCGGAAATTGTCTTGTATATCATATGCTCTGTCTAGTTTAAGGAAGGTGGGAGCGGCAATGTCCATAACGCACAGGACCCCATACTTCTTTAATCAGAGCCTGCTCTACTGATGTAACATAATCAAGATAAATGTGGTGGTGTTAACATCATGTGGTCAGATAGTGTAGTCCTTAATCAAACCAAACTCTCATTGAAATTTCTTTGATTGAGAACCACATAATTTGGCCTGTAAACATTTGAGACAGAAAAGACTCGAGGTCTCCTAGACTATGAATGAATTCCACTGTATCTGTTTTCATGAAGGGTCACCAAACTTTTCTATAGAATCATAGACTTTAAGGTCAGAAGGGACCATTAAGATCATCTAGTTTGACCTCCTGCACAACGCAGACCATGGGATAGTACTGCTTTCTCCAGGCTCTCCCATCTCCTAAGAACTAGTGTTACCCAGGTAGAGTCATTTATATAAAGGATCATCTTTTACAGCATGAATCATAAACTCAAGTGAAAAAGCAAGATATTTAGGTGAGAAACTAAAGGAATTTGAAACAAAATGGGAGTAAGGCACCTAGCCTTGTGGTGGTGGTGGTGGTGGTTGTGTGTCCTGTAATCATCATAGTAGACTATTCCCAGTTATCACTTTGAGGGTTAACAGGTTCTTGTCCAAGATCAAGCCCAGTATTATTAAAATTATTATGTAGTTGGGAACCCCTATGTGCATAAGTGCAATACTCACACTATATTTTACAAATAAAATTTACAAACAAATTTACAAATAAAAAATTTATTCATACATTTAGCAAAGTCACACACACTCTAATTCAGTAAGGTAGATAGAGATAATACAGAAAGTACATCTGAACATCCATACTCACAACATCCCTTGCAGAACAACCTGAAATGTTAGCCATTATCTTCCTCATTACCGTCACCTTCCTCATCTTCACCAGCGGCCATCATTCTGGCCCCTTCCAAGTGCTACATCTCTCTCTCCTACTGCCCTGGGATGCCACTTTCATAATATGTTACGCTGGTGTTACCATATCTAATGCATATTCAATAGGGGTTTCTCC